TCGCCAACTTCTGTAAGTAGCCCAATAACAAGGTGTTACATTATAAGTACATATGTAAAACAAGCATAAATTGTACACAAGTCTTACCGAAATAGCTTAGTAAATGGTTGCGTTATAAGGTAGTAGCATGCTATATTAATTGAGGTTTCGTTCTTGTTAGAGAATTAATAGGGAAACTTCACCAATAGATATGTTTCGTCCAGACAATTCATTATGCCTTTGTGGTTACTTTCCTCCGACAAAACATTTTTGGGATATACAGTGATATTCATTTAGAAGTAGACAGGGATTTTCTGTATGTCTACTTTTAAATGACAAAAACTCTTCTGAAGTACGCCTAATTTTATGCAACCAAAATAACTTCATAAAACAAATGAATTTGCTGTCATAGTGTCATATTAATTAATTGGAATATTATTGCTTTGGCTTTCTGATTGTTATTTTCGTTCGTGTTCGATGTATTCAACTTACGAAAAAGTTGTTATTGTCAATTGGTATAGTTCCGGTAATAGTGGATATGCGATCCACATAGACACCGTAAACAACTCTTACTTTTAACGGAGGATATGAAACTGAATGATTTAATTTTTGTGGAAGAGAATCCCATAAGAAACTTAAGAGAAATAAAAGCATACTATTTACTGTCGCTTTTATTAAAATCTAAAATGGTAATGCAAAATGCGTGCGCATGTTATTTCGGTTGCATAAACTTAGGCGTCTCTCGGAAGCATTTTTGTTATTTAAAAGTTGACATAGGAAATCCCTATGCCTACTTTTCTAAATGAATAACATTATATAAGTTTTGACATCACTAATAGATAGATTTCTTCCAGACGTCCCAATCGCCCTATGTGAGATATAAGGAATTATTTATTTCCTTTCGTTTTCAGTTTTGCACGTTTTGCATGCAAAAACAGCAATAGGAAATAATTCATGGGGAGGCCTTCCTTTGAGACAGCGAAATTTGATAGCCATCTGGCACAACCTCAAGATATAGGCTGCATATTGCAAAAAATTCCAAGACTCTAAGACCATTCCCCTAAAAGTAGTTCAAAACCGCAGAAGTGGGTCCGGATAGAGTGACAGACGTACAGACGGACGGACGGACGGACAAAACGCAACATTTTTTTAATTCTTAAAAATGCAATAAAAATTGGACGGAAGGAGGATCAAACCAATAATGTTTTCTAAATAAACCCACAGGATCCAACGTGTTTCGTTAGGGAGTCACCGTAAAAAAAAAGTGGTGAAATTTCTTCTTTAATTTTTTCTCACCAACCATAAGAGTTAACTGGTGATACGTCTTTGAATAGGTTTTGGGGTACTCTTTCCGATTTTGCGCAAAAAATCTGACTTAGACGAAATTTTGTATCTGAGAATTTTTGCAAATGAAAATCACGAACCGGACATTAGTTTTTGAAAAAATTTGAAAATTTGTAAGTGCTAAGAAACAAATTAAAGAAATGCAAATTTTACCACTTTTTTTGGGTGGCCCCCAAACGACACGTTGGAAGAGTAAAAAAGCATGCGAAGACGTTAAACGGTGAAGAGTTGAGCTAGGAAGCTGTTGTGTCAAGAATTTGGCACATTTTTGAAAGTAGTAAAACTTGCCAGACGTTTGTCGCATCTGTAGCCAGCAGATATTTTTCACTCATTCCATATATAATTTCTGTAGTGCTCTCTTTAATCCGCGATGAATTTTCGTTATCGTCGAGTAAACAAATGAAAATGATCTTATGGAAAACATCATTTTCGTTGTTTATTTGCCAAACAATCCCAATTAGAGAAGATAGATTATTCAGAATAACGTTATCGTTGTTTTTTTAGCTTCGGAGATAAACACATTGTTAGCCAACATTAAATTAAAGGATCAATGGTAATTAAAATGTAACACTTACCTAACATCTTGAGAACACGCCGAGATGTCTGGATCTGTCGTTGTTTTACAGATTCACTTCTTTTGCTCGCGGCAGTCGTGGCGTCATTGCGTCTTCGGAAGTCCCATTGAACCTTTTTCATTTTATTCGAGCTCCTTAGTCTCATTCCAATGAGTACATACAATATTGTAATTAAGCTCATCGGTCCGATGAAAAACACAAACGTGGAAAATTCAAACGAATGAGGAATGATAGTCCTCACAGCGTCGCATTTCGTACTTTCTGGAATTCCATTGATACTAACAACTTCAAACTGAAGCGCTTGCGGCACGGCAAACACAATTGAAACTAACCAAATGATAAGTATAAATTTGACCGCTCTGGAGAGTTTTGACATCGTATGTGATAAGAAGGGGTGGCATATTGCGATATACCTTTCAACTGTAAATGCAGTTATTGTGAGCACGGTCGCGTTTGCAGAGGTTTCCGAAAAAAGTCCTCTGAGCACACAAAAAACTTGCCCAAATACGTAAGGATACCGCGACCATATGCAGTATACCTCTTGAGGAAGACCTGACACTAAGAGCAATAAATCGGAAATCGCTAAACTAAATAGATAGTAGTTTGTGGCTGTATGCATAGATTTGTTACGAGATATCACAACACATGTACTTATATTTCCTATGAGACCAGTAACAAAAATGATCACGTAGATTATAGTAATTGGAATAACAACATTTAAGCTGTCCCGTTTTGGTCCATATAATTTCCTAATAAATTCACTAGAATTATTGTAGTCCAACTGTGTATAATTTTCTGTCGCACTTTCTATCAAAGTTGTTTCCTCCATTTTTCAACTTCACATAAGCACTACTAAAATTTTGCGTACAGAAACGCGGTTTCCGCGCCTGTACAGAGCATTACTATGTGTCAGCCTTCACCGCCAGGAAAGTTGGACGAACTGATGCTAAAACAAATCTGTTTTCACGATAGGGAGTTGCTCTTTCAATTGCGCACATCTATTCCTACGTATTCCTATAACCAAATAGGTAATCCCTAATTCATCTCCTTACTTGAAACACTTTAATCAGTTGTTTCGAGTGCACGTGAATGTTAAAGCATTTCTATACTAGCAAAACAACTATGTATCAAATCTGAACAGGGATGGAACTTTTTGTCAATTGCCAGTTTACATAGGTACGCTGGAGGGTACGCTAATGCATCATTTTGGCATTCTCAATCATAAATTTGCCTCTAGCTTCGCCCCAAAAGATATGAATCTTTCCAAAAGGAAATTTCTAATGAATTTGTACAATTGACAACTGTTGTAGTGTTTCTTATTTATTTATTTATGCAAACAAATTATCCGAGCTTGAGTACAGGCATTATGTAATTGTACCATGATCTAGAAAATGACTGGTTATTACCTTGGGCTGAGAGAGGATAAATGACGGGACCGATTATTTTTACCAGTACGATTAATTACTTGTGAGAAACATTTAAATGGAAAAAAAAAGGTATAGTCTAATGATCTAACTCATATTAACTTAACTGTCTATATCAATATTTTAAACGTAAATTTCTTCAGACCATTAAACTTGGGTCACCGAGAAACATTCGCAACTTTGGAATGGATTTGGCGTGCTATTAAAAAAAAGTAAATTCGATAAATACCTAGGAATAACATAGCATTTAAAGTATATGTTAGAAGTAAGCTCTTTACGTCGCTAAACTTAGGTTTGCCTTTGCAATTCGAGCTGTGCCAAACCTCTCCAGGCAAAAGTTCGAGGTTATTTCGTATTACGGACATTGCCTGATGTGTAATCCGGCAATCTTATGTTTGCCAGCTGTGGGTTAGGAATGTTCGAAATCATTTTGTATAGATATTTAAAGTTATTAATACAGGGCGTCCCAGTGGAAATCGATACATTTTAACCGTAGAGAAAATAAGATAGAAAATTGGAGAAGAATTGCAGTTATTGTTAACCTTAAAAAAAGGAAAGTTTGTGTGTTTGTGATAAGAAGAATTTGGTGAAAATGGGAGACAGACTGTCTCGAAGTACGAGCGAGAACGCAAAGAGTTTTCGTTATGATGACAGCGAACGTGTGCCATTAAAACATTAGAACTCGATATTTAGAGTCATGTCTCAAATAATTTTAAGCGCAATATTTATATTATTTTTGGGCAATGTCTACCCTTTAGTCTCGCACTCAAAACCCTTAAACTCTCTTTACTGTAACGCCGTTTTACTAAGTATCTTTTTCGATATGTTTATTTCTATAGATTTAGTGAAAAATAAACACTATATACAGGCTGTTTCACGCAAACCGTTATCTAAAAGTATTTAGACTTCCATTAATAATTTAAATGTGACAATTTTCATACCAACATAGTTTTTCATGATTTATCGAAAGAAAATATTATCATAATCGTTTCACTTCCGGTTTTATCGGATGTGGATAGCAACTTACTTATTTTAAATAGAACACCCTACATTTTATTACATTTTCGAAATGTACATGAAACTCTACGTCGTTTGATACCAATTTCCCTATACCTAGCATCAAAGGTTTTGAAGTTATTCGAGATTTTTCAAAATTTTTTACGATTCACTGCTTTTTTTAGCCCCTGTAATTTCAAAAAATCTTTCAAAATCAACAATACTGACGTGATGCTACATACGAATAATTTAAATTTTGGCCGCTCTTTTACAGGGTGTTTTAAAATTAATGGTCAAGTTTAATAACTTCAAACCAAAGTTGATTTTTTAATGAAACCTGCTTTAGTTTTTTGCACTTTCAAATGTGGAAAAAAATTCTACATCGATCAATTATTACATTCCCTATATCTATCTGTTATAGTTTTCGTTTTATTTAAGGTTTTCTAAAATTGTGACCGTTATATGCATAATTTTCTTAGGAGGCCTTGAGATAAACACGTTAGCAGACCTTCGCTACTCGTTGCTCATGTTAGTTTATATCATTTAGTATGAAAAAATACTTTAATGAATACAAAGTTAAATAAACGTGTAAACAAATATCGAAATATGCTATAGCATGTACAAAACCAAATTTTGAACCTGGTGGTAGTTTTGCTTTTATTTAAAGTGTTATGTAGGAAATATCATTTAATTGCTTCCATGAATAAGAAAGTTGGCAACTGTTCTTCAAACGGTTTGACAGCTGAAGAAGATTTCAAAAATACGACTTTTAAAAATAGTGATGGAAGGTATCTTGTTGAATTGCCATTCAAGAGGGGCGCACTCTCTTTCTCTGGATCTAGCGATATTGCCTTAAAAAGATTTGTACCTATCTCAAGACAGTGTTTAAAAGAATATTTAACTTTAAGACAAAAGAGATCCTTGGCTTTCCCAACTCAAAATGAAGATACATTTTATTATATCCCTCACCACTGCGTTCTAAAAGTTGAATGCTGTACCACAAATCTTAGAGTGGTGTTTGACGCTAGTGCGGTAGATGTGAATAATAAAAGTTTAAACGATTCCCTTTTAACAGGAGCCAAATTTGCAACACGATATTCAGCCCTGTGATGGATCAGAAACGTGCGTTATTTAGTATAGGCATACAGGAAATTGCTACGGGGGTTCCTTCTGGACTTGAAAATTACCATCGGTTCCGCCCGGCAAGGCAAACCGTCTTCTTCTCAGGCTGCTCAATCGATAAAAATAAATGCTCCGGCTAACTCAAATCGGTGGGCTTTTAACTCTTTTGAAACTGCGTAACAAACATTAACCTGCCGCCTACCAGTCTCCTGCCTCAACTCCTACTCCTCTCTTTCCTTCCCCTCGTTCTTCGTTAAAGACATAGGCACATTGAAACCAAATAGATAATATATTGAAATGATATTAGAGATACAAACAAATTACAGGGATCTAGCAATTCTTCTCTCCTCCTTGTAAAAAAAATAGCTTAACAATGACAACTAAACTAACTAAAAATCCTACCAGGTGAGACTAATTTACTCAAGGGGTGGCCATCCTCTACAGTTTGAAAATTTCAACAACAGGTAATCGTTTTTTACTCCAGCGTGGGCTGGGACTTATTTAAATAAACACCAAAATTTATCCTACTCTTTGGTAATCGTTCATTGGACTTTAATAAACAATCAAATCAAAATTTTTTTACTATAGCTTCATTACCAAAAAGTGGAATTTTACAGAACGTTACAAATTTAATTAGACTAACCTTTACAACATTTGTACAGCCGATCTTGTGAACTGCTGTTTCCTCTGGTACAGGGTGGATGTGATGAAACCTGACACTTAGGTCTCTGTGACTTCCTAGGGGGTGGCTTGAAATTAACGCACGGAAACAAAATCCACGGTGCCTATCCTTCCTCGGACGAAAGCAAAGTTTAGTGTTTGAACCGAAGCTTAGTCCAGGAATCCTTCGCGTGGCGAGTGGGAGACGGCTAGTTGCCAAAGTTTCTACACAGCGGTGTATTTAATTTAAACAGTGACCCCTACTATTTCCTTCCACCGGCTCTTAGAGTTTATTAACTTTGATCGCCTGCGGGAGACAGATTTTTGAGTTAGCGGCACGGCAGAACACAAATTTTTATGAGCGCTATCCGACGGTAAACCGCGATTTGTTCTTGGGTGGTTCGACTTATTAGTTCACCAGCTCTTCTTGGGGCAAATATCTCTCCAAAACGCAGCGCTCCTTCGACAAATGACCGTACGACACTAGTAGGAAATTCCACCTGGGGCGGATCCCGAGTATCGGCGCCTTGAGGACTAGGGCAGCACTTTGAATTATATATCCTCGAGAAATCACAACGTATCCTAACGCGATTCACTGCATCCAAAGTAAACTGGGGTGAAGCTCAAGGGTTCGCCAAAATATCACCTGATCGGAACCTGGGTCTTCGTCGCCCAGAAATCAACGCGAAAAGAAAATAACACTTCGAAACGGGTGCAAAAAGCACGCAACTGCGAGCAAGCGAAATAAACCGGTGGCTCAAAACGCTAAGTGTACCAAAACGATCACTCAAGGTACGTGTTGACCGCTTGACGTACTAACTGCGAGTCTTTTCAAAACGATTGCTCAAGGTACGTGTCGACCCCTCGACGTACTAAACTCGAGTCTCTTTAAAACGATCACTCAAGGTACGTGTTGACCCCTCGACGTACTAACCGCGAGTCTCTTCAAAACGATCGCTCAAGGTACGTGTCGACCCCTCGACGTACCAACCGCGAGTCTCTTCAAAACGATCCCCTTCTTCAGAATTGAAATGAGAAAACCACACCCAAATTACCATAAAACAAAAATGGCTCCCGCTAGAAATTCTCCCATTGGTTTAGATAAAGAAGACTTAACCCACTCTAACTTCGTCGTCAACCTCCAGGAACTGCTGAATAAACTGATCTCACGGTTTTCTGCTGACGAATTTAAAACCCTTATCTCTTGATGGCTCGGTGCTATATCCGCTCCTATTCTCGGTCTAGACGGCGCCTTGGGTGATAAACGAACGACAAAAAACTCGCATTACTCATGATGACGTCAATCAACTTTGCACTCTTCCCACGACGAAATTAAATCTGAGCGAAATTAAATCTATCGGACCATAGTCTTGAGCGAACCGAAATGCCCAAACACAAAATTTCTAACCGCAACAAATAATGAAATATACAGGTACATACATTCACAGATGAAATCTGAAAAAGTCTTTTCCAGGTTTTAACTTCAACGCGTAAGTAAAACGAATTCATTTAGATGTATTTGTTTAAATAATAGTCAAAGATAACACTTAAATAATTTACATTGTATTGTATAATCTGCGTACACGTAATTGAGGATCAACAAATTTATTTACGTCGCGCCTCGAGATTGCATTTACACCGATAAGTAACAATTACACAGCATGCATCATGCAGAAAATAGGTATGTACCTTTACTACATGCATTTTCTGGTCGTAACGGAAGAC